ATGTTTATAAATATAATTAATTACCAGAAATATTTATAAAGATTAATATTTAATATTTAAAAATATATTTATAAATATATAATATGTTTGTCATGAATATATATTTTTTATGAATACTGAAAATAAAGGCAGAAAAATAATATTATAATATATATTATAATATAAATATTTTTGGCTTTATCATCCAGTCGGAAAGCTTCACCTAATTGTTTTTTTCTTTCATAAGCGTCCCATCAACCCACACTCTTTAACAGGTGACATTATGCCTTAATATAGTTTTATTTCTGTCTTTTCCCCCCATTCAACCCATTGAGACAGAAATAGGTTTATGTATTTAGCCGCTGAGGTAATGTTCCCGTTACAAACACTCACGGAGAGGCGGGAACCCGAAACCAGTGCTGGAGTGATTTTGTTACAGCGATTAAAGCGGAGCCAGAAAGTGTATCACTGGTGTCTGAACATGGCAGATAGCCGCAGGCCATGAAATAAGCATGCAGGGGTCAGAAGGGTGGATCCACATTTCATGGCCATTATGTTGCACTTATAGGTGCGGGATGCAGGTCTAAACGTGACGGGAAGAAGGTGTGAATCACGTCAGTCAGACTCTACCGGCTGTCCTGTTTGGGAGGCAGCTCTTCTTATAAAAATCATTTGTTGTGTAGAAATGAAAGTGGAAGCGTGGCAGAGTGGGACAATGGCAGATGGGGGAAATGTTCAGAAAACCCATTTTATATTTAAAACCATTTTTACATTAAGTGCTTTTTTGCTGAAAGCTGTCTTTGAGGTTAAGGTTTCTCATTTTACACTCCTGCACGTCTTCTTTAGTGGCGATTCAGTACCAAAATGGTTTAGCATAAAAAATGCATTCTGATGGTTTTATGCACTCGGCAGCCAATAATTTATCATGCAAAAAAACTTCAATCGTTACAAATAGTCACTAATCATGAGGACATCATGCAGCCTGTACAAGTGATGGACAACTTTGAGCCAACTAGAGTTCAACTGGTATTTATTTTTTATGTATTTTTGTATTTATTTTAATATGATTAGTTGCATTTTATTATGTGCATTATTTATTTATTTATTTATTTTCAATTTCCCAGGATCACTTTTAATTTTCCCCGCCTGCCTTACAGATTTAAAATATATTTATATTTTTTATAGAGGAAGGAGGAAGATGTTTTTTCCCCCCTGCCAGATAGAAAAAATGAGCAAGATTCAGGGTGATTAATCAGATTTAATTTAACAATTTTAATTAATGATTTTATTTGTTTTTATATGTTGAATAAATATTTAGTAGTTTTTTAGTAGCATTTCTATTTATAATTTTATAATAATTATTTAAATGTATGCATAATTTTTTTCACATTTTTTTTTAAATGTATTTGTTTAATGGATTTTCTTTTAAGTTCAAATAAACCCACTGTTAAAATATATTTTAAGTTCAATAAGTGCATGATATTTCCAAGTCAATGACTAATAATTTAACAATGTTAATTAACGATTTCATGACTATATGGTGAATAAATATTTAGTAGTTTTTTTATTTAGCATTTTTATAATATTTATTTAAAAAATATGCACATTTATATACAATTTATTGTTTAGTTTTTTAAATTTTACATTTATTTGTTTAATTAATTTTCTTTTAAGTTCAAGGAAACCCACTCTTAAAATATTTTTAAGTCCAATAAATGCATGATATTTCCAAGTCAATGACTAATCATGATTCAGGGTGATTAATCAGATTTAATTTTATGATTTTAGTTAATGATTTTATCTTTTTGTTTTTATATATTGAATAAATATTTAGTAGATTTTAGTGGTATTTTTATTGTTAATTTTTGATCATTATTTATTTAAAAGTATGCAAATTTGTATACAATTTTTTCAAAATGTATTTGTTTAAGTTAAGTTTAAGGAAACCCACTGTTAAAATATTTTTAAGTCCAATAAATGCATGATATTTGAGTCAATAACTAATCATGTGAAATAATCATACTCTCAATACTAATCAAAAAGAATCATGATTTCGATTTTTGCCATAATCGAGCAGCCCTACTAACAGGCCATGATCACAACCCATCCACTGCTTCACAGAACCTAAAAAAGGTTATTTAGCACTAAAACGCTCTCTTGCCACTCTAATCTGATGCTATTTTCAGACTTAAAAATTCCTAAAAAGTTTCCTGAAAAAAAAAAAAAAAACTGCGCATATCAATACCAAGTCTCTGTGAGATGACAAACACAGTCTTTATCCCATCCAGACGTCATTTCATCAGCCGTGAACGCAACCCAAAGAGGATCAGAGCCTCCGAAACATGCCACGGTCCCGAGCAGCAGGGTCTTACCAGAGGAAGGTCTTCATTCTGAGTGAGATTCAGACTCGGCAAGTCAAAGTTGCTGAGGCCGTTGGGAAACAAATCCGTGTGCATGTCCAATGGGCCGCTGAGAAGCTGCTGCCTGAGAAACGAGACACAAGGCATTCAGAGTTTCATGATGGATCACGAGTAGAGTAAACAGACGGGCAAAAAAGGAAGAAGGAAATTCACCGTTTTGTGTCGGAAAAACAGGGTGGGACATAAAACCCACAAAATGACTTTATAAATGCAACATTAAAACAAAGAGATCATACCTAAAAAGTAAGCAAATAATGACTAAATGTTCATATTTACTGTTTAAATAATAAACTATACAGACTGTAGACATCAGCGAGTTGAAGTGTTAGAGCGCCTCTCGTCATGTGACACTCATTCATTGAGTGTCTGTCATGTGACGTTCACTTTCACTTCACTTAACGTTGCGGGAAATCACCGCAGTACATTTCAGGAAGCTTCACACCGAGGTGGATGTTTTTGTCGTGTTGCTAGTTTGGATGATACAGTTGAACTGCTTTGAGAGCGAAGTATTCTGCCGTTGAGCATATGTGACTTTTGATGATCAGAGAAGAGAAATGATTGACGGCTGAGGCTCTATAGGACGAGCGGTGGGTGACAAAACACATACATAAAAAGTATTCTGCCGTTGAGCATATGTGACTTTTGATGATCAGAGAAGAGAAATGATTGACGGTTGAGGCTCTATAGGACGAGCGGTGGGTGACAAAACACATACATAAATACATTTACAGAGGGGACGACAAGTCTGGGACCACTTCCAGCATTGGGAATTCTACATTTCTGAATAATGTTTTAGGATTTAAAAGACAGAAATAAATAAACTGTAAAACAATGAGGTATTGGGATGTCAAATAAATAAATATTTAATTATCTGAGTTTTAAATGTTTATTACATTCAAATAAAAATGGTATTTAATTATAAAAATATAAAATAGAACCCCCATGGTATACATTTCTGTATAATATGCTTATACATAGTGCTGGGCGGTATACCGGTTCATACCGAATACCGGTGT